TCTTCATCCCTCTCTCTTTGCTTTTCATCTACTGTGAGGTGAAGAGTCCATTTCTGCCACATGCTCTCTCCCCATGGTACTGGGCCACCACAGGCCCAAACAACAGAACCAAGCAACTATGGACTCAAACTAAACAAGAAACTGGATCCTTCCAGTGTGTGTTTTCAGTTAGTAAAAGAAAGCTGACTAAGAGCTCTGTTTGGAAGGCCTGGTTTCCACCTGTTCAGAATTTGTCATTGAGCCAATTTTCTCATATATTTGACTCAGTTGTTAGAAAATAAGTCAATCCTGATCTCTACTCACTATCAGACCATGGAATTCTCAAGTTTTCAGGAAATGATAAAGAATAGGTTAAATACATTAGAAGAGCACATAAAAACTGGTCGTCAAATGATCTGTTTCTGAGATATTCTTAATGAAGTAAACGCATAAGCCAGAGCAAATTTTTTTGGAAAGTTTAGCAGCACTTACTCAGTTAAAGAAACCCAGCAAAAGGAACACTAACAGAGCAGGATTTTTCAAGCAATCGTGTGTTCATTCACTGATTTCTAGAGCACACAGACAAAAATCAGGAAGTTCCCATAAGCTCAAGGAGTTTGCAAAATAAGCATCTGTGGTAACTCAACCCTATCCAACTCCCACATTGTGGTGGTATTGTGTTCCCCAAAATATTGTGAACTCTAATAAATTTATCTGGGGTCAGAGAACAGACAGCCACTAAATACAAAGGCTAGAAAGTGGTGGCACTCACACCTTTAATCCTAGCATTCCAGAGATAGAAATCCCTCTGGATCTCTGTGAGTTCAAGGCCACATTGGAAATAGCCAAACATGGTGACACACGCCTTTAATCCCAGGGAGTGGTGGTAGAAAGCAGAATGATATATAAGGTGTGAGGACCAGAAACTAGAAGCTTTTGGCTGGTTAAGCATGTGGCTGGTTAAGCTTCAGGCTTTCCAGCAGCAGTTCAGCTGAGAGCCATTGGGATGAGGACACAGAAGTTTCCAGTCGGAGGAAACAAGACCAGCTGAGAAGTTGACCAGGTGAGGTTAGCTGTGGCTTGTTCTGTCTCTTTGACCTTCCAGTATTTACCCCAATAACTGGCCTTGGGTTTGATTAATTAATAAGTACTTTTAAGATTCCTGCTACACACATGGCCTTAGCATCACTCACAGTTTGGCAATACTTGCAAGGCCTCTCAAAGTGAAAATAGGTGTATTAAAATATGTGCTGGGTGCAATATTTAAACACTTTGCACTAAATGCTAGAATATTTAGTTTTTCCTAATTATTACCATGGATAAAAGTACAACCAATCAGGAACATCAAAATAGAAAACAAATTGAGCAAACGACAGAAGATTTCAATATCTTAACCAAAATCTTCTCAAATGAAATGAAGACATAAGAAAGAGATGAAAAACGATTGTCCCAGATTTAATCGGTATCTACCACATACATCTAATGGAATACTATATAGTGCTACAAAACTATAATTCGGTTAACTATTACATACTAAACTAATTATTTATAGTTTAAGGACATAAAAGTGTTTACTGTCCTGATTTGATCAATATATACTATACATACACATCAAATGATCACAATGCACCACATAAATTTGTTCATCAAATCTAAAAATAATTAAAATTTACAAACCCACAAAAATGAATGAATGAAAAAATGAAATGAAGCCAATTGATTTCTACCTTGCAGAACATATATAGTTAGGCCACTAGTCCTCAACCTAGAGAGATTTTGTCCCTTGAGAAACATTTGGCACTATCTGCAGACTATTTTGTTGGTCACAGCTAGGGGAGAAACCAATTGATGTTGACTGGATAGAGATCAAGGGTGTTGCTGGAAGCCTTCCTATGTAAACACCACTCATGTTCCACGTCAAGCAGTGATAGAACCAGATGTGAGAAACCCTGACTTGGAGTAACCCAACTCCAATTTCATGTCCTTCATTCATGAAGTTCTCTTTGGTTTTTAATGATAAAATCATGGAGTCAGGGTATAGGAAGAGGAATATTTCCCAAACCGTTACCAAAATCATTAATAAAGTAGAGAATTTTCATAGCATCATAAGAGGGTTAGATAATTAAGAATATAACTATAAAAAGTTGTGTAAGCTACAGAAACTACATTACTGCTTGAAATTTTTGATAGCATTGAAATGTGAATGTGTTTTAAAATATGGATAAGAGCTTCAGTAGTCTATGAAGTAAACTTTATGGTGTATGTTTAGCATTTAACCTTTTTATGCAATTATCAAATAAGATGCTGAGACACTTAGCAAAAAATGACTCCATATTTCTATGTGAACCTAGGATTTCAATGGTAGGACAAAGTAGTAAGCTTAAACAAATTAATAATAGAGACTAAAATGTGTATACTTGCATTAATTCTATTAAATGTCAGTAATAGATACACATTTGTGTTTTTTTCTGTTTTTACAACCATTTATACTCAGGTGTTCATGCACGAATGAGGCATCAAAAAAGTGAGAAAGAGTTGTAGAAGTTCAGTAATTTCAAATGGCCCAGTGAGAAACACCACTTAAAAATCCATGAAAGAAACCAAGATGATTTGCTAGGAATTTTGTCTGGTAAGAGACAACCAGGTTTGAAAAATGACCAAGTTGATGATGAGAAAACAAACAAACTAACTAAAAACAAAAAACATCTTCCTGTCAGCATCTTCTGCTTTCCAATTTTTCATTTAAAGAAAACACTGTCTAAGGTCTTGGGAATGACAGGCACAGATTGCACTGTGTGGATGCAGACATAGGAATGGAATCTGTGGAAAGGGGGGCTTGACTGCCCTTTCATGCTCATGATCTCCTCACAGGCTCAGCCAGTTGACTCAGAGTGAGTTCTTGTGCCTTGGGACTCCTCAGGACAGGAGGAACAAAGGTTGCTGTTACTTCTGGTCTCTGATTTGCAGATCCTGTTTTAAAGGCCTGCCTAATTGAATCAAGTCATCTAACAAATGACTTAACACAAATCAACTGATTATGAACCTTAACTGCAGATGATAAATACCTTTACTTCTGTCCTAAAATCTAACCACTTAGGAGACATCTATTATAAAAGCTTGGATGAATCACAGTCATTGGGGACTCAATCCATGGTGGAACTTTTAAGGAAGGAATATATCTCTTGACCCAAAAGGAGGCTAAAACACAATCAAGGAACTTAGGCTGAGTCCAAAGAAGAAAACTTACATGCCATGTTTGTGCTCTTCAAGTTGGTTTGCCAAGACAGAATCAGTTCATTTCAGAATGACAAAATAAACCCCAATTCTGTACTCTTACTTACTGATGAATGTTTAAGCCACGCCTAAAATGGACATGGAAGGAAACAGCATTTTTCAGCATCTATTTTCTTAAGGTAATGTTAGCTTGCCATTGTCTCAATAATAAACACTTGCCAGCATAACAAAATAGTAAAAATGTGTTGTGAGAAGTGAGGCATGATGGAAAGGGAATACTACTTTCTTAAGTGGACACACATGGATCATCCATGAATAAAATGCTCAGTAAAAGTGCCAGAATTAATGCCAAACACTAGAGTTTAGATTTTTAAGTTATATTTTTCTCAAACTTATCATCACTATAAGTTGGCAATTATTTTTCTGATCATAATCTCCACTTAGATTTTTTTTACTGTCTGAATAATCCTTTTAAATAATCTTTTTATAAATACTTAAATACAAAAGTAACAACTTCTAAGGGGGAAAATAGGGAGGGGTAAAATCCTACTTAATCATAACTAATTTTCCTAATTAAGAAGCAGCACAAAGAAATAAAAGTAGCATAGCCAGGGGTCCCTCGCTTCCTTTGCAGTATCAAACTGTACACGGTACATTTTGAAATGAAAGCAGCAGCGTTGCATTCTGCATTTACAGTGATGGTTTAGCCTATTGATTTAGACATATTCTGCTTCTCTTTTCAGCAGGAAGTATGAGATCATTGCTGCAGCTCAAGTTCATGCATCTTGACAGAGAGATGCTCTCCATACCAGGTACACTGTGCATGTTGCATATTTAAATTATTTATATTTCAGAGGAAAGAGAGAGCTGGGTGATTTATGGTCTCGTGGTAAAATCTCACTCTGCCAAACTAGCTGCCAGAAGACAACTGGAGCTTCCTTCTGAACACTGATGAATCTTTTTAAACTTAGGGTCCCGATAGAGTCTTCAAAATAACGGTGCAGAGCAGAGGTTCCTTTAGGAGAACTAGGAAAACAGACCCACGTTTCAAATCTCTGTGGGCATGTATGTACATCAGGGAACAAGAAATCATTTTATACTGAGACACATTTCTATTACAAAGGGCTGTGGAAGTCATACACTTAGTCTGACCTGTCTGGATCATCCTGTCGTCCATAGATTTTATAAATAGGCCAGTGATAAAGGTCAATCAGATGTGCAGTGTGACTCAGGATGCCATCCTTGGGGCAGCAGATCAATTCGATTCATATCTCCTTGTGGAGATCCATAATGTCCCAATTCTTAATTATCTAGTCTTTTGTTCATTAAAAAAGAATGGCCAATAAAATGTCAGCCAAGAAACACACTGTTCATTCCTTTCAGGTTTATTTTAAACCTATTGCACTTGGACTAGAGCTAAATCAATTTTTCATGAATATCTACCCTGGTAGATTGCACCTCAAGCCAGTTCAGATCCCCAGAGAATTTTAAAAAAGAGATTTATCAACTACCAAGTAACACCTCTGGAGAAAGAAGCAGCGTTTTTAATTGCGTCGTGTGCTTGGTAATTGCAGGCAGGCACCTTCTTGAGGCGCTCGCTGCCAGGAGGAGTTGCGACACCACTTGGCCCTGCCTAATTAATCCTGTGATACAAACCTTCTGGCTTCAATTTTCACATTTCTGTCTCTTTTTAGAGGTGATAATAAAACTAAAAATTTATGTTGGTTACTGTATGAGTATAACTGTGCCAGCGGAACACAAATAAAACCATATGGGCGAAGGAGCCCCGGCCTGCGCATGACTGCCTTCCTAGTGGCAGGAGGCACGGGGGCAAGCTTTGTGCTAACAAGGAAAGGTAAGGCAACTCGGGCAGGGGAAGAGCGGCTCACCCCTTCTTGGGGGTTTGCTCCATTAAGATGACTCATTGAAACATATGCCTGTTTTATTGACAAAAAGAAAAATCTCAAAATAGATGTGTCCGCTCTGAAAGCGGAGTGGCTCAGCGGCTCCGGATCACTCCACTGCACGAGAGCTTTTAACGAGAGACAAATTGGGCAGCTTAGCCTTTATGGAAGCCGTCAGAGTGACAAGTGTGGGGTATGTTATCTTAATAGCTTACATATTAAGCTTTGGATAACACATCAGTTAAAACATCGTCTAGGACACCGGCCGTGTCCCTCCTGGAGCCGTGACCTGTAACGCACTCCACCTACGTCACGGGGCTGGCTCTTTGTTAGCACAGGTCAAAATGATTTTGTTTTGGTGGTGAACACTGATTTGTATCCTGACACCAGCATTAAATGGCTCATAAGATGATGCATAGATGGGGTACCAGTAAAGGACAAAATATGCTTTGTCCCAGTGCAAACTCAGTGTGTGGAAAACCTACAGATTCATCCTGATTATGAGATAGGATGTCTGTATTGTTCAAAACAAAATGTGGAACAAGCATGCTATCAACTGTAAGACTGAGAGCAGTGTTTTTCCCTGCACAATATTTGTACTTCTAACTGCCAACTGCACGAGCACACTAATTTAAAGAGTAAAATGCTGAAAAGAAGCCTGCCCCAAGATACACATCCACAGTTCACAAACTGTAGGAAAAGAGAAATGCCCAGTGTTGTGTATGTGCTTCAGAAATCCACAGGCTATATTATTTTCTCCTCTAAGTTTTACTTCCTTTTAATCTGGGTTTATTTGTTTGCATAGTTTCTACTATTTCTGATGAATTTTTTAAAAATATGGGAGCCATCTGGTGGTCAACAATTATATTCTGTTTCTTAGATATAGAATTAGAGTTTATTAAATTGCTATTCTATTTTATGGGATAACTTCTTTTAGAATAATTTTAACAATTATACTAACCCTCTGTCCCAAAGGCTTAACGAAGTAGATCTGCCCCTGAGTGTTGAAGTAACCTTGCAAATGCTTTATGCCCACTTTACATGCTACTCATTTTGCACAAATATCAAATGGATATTTTTTTGTAGATTTCATGTGTGCCCCAGGATGTACTTTGACTCACATAGGAAGTTGATAAAAAATGAGTATGTTCTCACATGCTTTAAAACATGTCAATTTTGGTTCTTTTCAAATAAAACAAGTGATTATTATAGGATATTCTTTATATGGGGAAGTGTTGGAAGCCAAGTTCAAGATTTTATAAATGCAGAGATAATGAGTGAAGTTTGGAAGGGAAAGATTGAAATGAAAACACCATAAATGTCAAAATTCTGTCCAGTGGTACACTAGAACAGAGCTGCCACCAATACCTAATTCATACAGAGCCCAAGAAAGTCTTTCCCTTCCAAACTATTGTTGAAAATGTGTGTGTGTGTGTGTGTGTGTGTGTGTGTGTGTGTGTGTGTGTGTGTGTAACATAACTCTGGGTATGTCATGGATATATTATTCCATGGCCATCTTATGCTGTTCTCCATCCCACAGTTAAGGGTGTTTATAATGACAGTGTCATAGAATTGCTGTTATCAGCTTGGCTAATCGTCCTTACTGCTAGTCAACATGCACTGAATATTTTACAGAAAGCTAAACAGTTCATTCAACACTTTCAGAAATGTTCTCAGTGAGTCCAGGTAAAGTATACCCCTAAGATACTATCATTTCCCCATTTAACTAATCAGGCATATGAGTCAGAGAGAAATCATGAAATGTCAGTGAGAGTGAGTGACCTTGCCCTGGCCTCCATTCTGACTCCATTTCTGTGCTTTTTATCTATCATTCTAAAGTCAAATGATAGCTGGCCATGCCAATCACTTGCAGCATTTCCAAACACTTAATGATGTAACTATGACATCAATCAGTTTTAAATTAGTAGGTAACCTGCCAACCTTATGAGAACCACATCTGTTACTTACCTATCTAGTGACATGGACATGAGTTTAGGGAAATCCATCAAATGTCTGGAGGATTGTCACCTATGCTTACATCTTCAACCTATCATCCTTTCTCTCCTTCAGACCTAATGTCCCCTTGCAGGAACACTCTGCTTTTCCTAACTCCAAATTTTCAGGTGATGAGGGGCTGCAATCATCCCAATACTCTAGGTATTGGACATGTGACCCGTGCCTCTCCAAAGTGACTGAGAGAGCAGGAGCAACGTCCAAGCCAGGACAAACAAAAGCCTTCTTGAGTCTGAGAAGAAGGTTGATGACCGCTCGCTCTTTGCTGCCAATTTCCAGTCAAAGGTAGACACAGAATGCCACATGTGCCCTGAAGATGCGCGAGAACAGAAAAGAGTAAGACAAGCACTCCGTGAGCAAGTTATGAAAATGAAAAAGCATGGGAGCCTGGAGCATGTTCACTTGGCCCAGTCAGTCGCTCTGAGCTCCAAGCAGCAGATGTCTTGAGAATGTATGTCAGGGTCCGAGCAACTTTCCCCTTAACTCATGGATGTTGTCTGGTTGGTGTAGTTAATGCTGTTGTTTTCTAGGAAGTTAGTTTGACGTCCTTTTTGCCCCAAGAAGCCACTATTAAATTATACAATTACGAAATATTGGATCTCTACCTGGCAGGAAACAAGGATAAACGTGGTTGGCTAATACTGTTTTGGGGGTGTGTTTTACATATAAACAGTTTCCTGAGGAAAAGAGCCAATGCGCCTGCATACGGCAGAGAAGTGTGACACAAAGCACCAGACTGGTTTTGGCAAACACAAGGATGAGCCAACTTGAAAAAGCTCACAGCTTTAATCCCCATTGCTTTCAAGTTTTGTTTCCATGTCACCCTTTTATGTGTAAAGCTAGACTTAAAATTTGGACATTTAAGGAACAGCAACACCAAGAACACATATACACACCTTCCTGATTGTGACATGGCATTCAGGCCCAAAACAATGCCTTTTGTAACTCTTATCTTCAATGTCTACTGAGACAGAAAAGTGGTAGAAGTATCGTGAGGAACACTATCAATTTGGATGAAATGAGAACAAACTTAGTATTGTGACTAGATAGACATGTTGCGTTAAGCCCTTACATATATGCTTTTAAGTTGGACAGCCACAGTCTGGCGTCCCTGCACTGCTGTGTGTCAAATGTGTAAGCTAGTGAGTTTCTCTTGTTGTTCATTTCATTTGAAACAGGAAAGAGATTATCGAAGTCTTGTTTGAGATTGCTAATAGTCTATGAAAAGAGCCTAAATAGATGCTCAGTAAATGGCAAGTGTTGCTGTAGCTACTGTTACCATTAATCCCAATGCTGTTGATTCCAGAGGTATTTTGTTGACTGAAACACCAAAATAAAACAAGCAGAGAAAACAAGTTTGGCTTTCTGTTAACCAGTTCTGCTTTAAAAGTGAGAACTTCTGTGTTTAATGCAACCGCTCGGGTTCCTTCCTTCCTTCCTTCCTTCCTTCCTTCCTTCCTTCCTTCCTTCCTTCCTTCCTTCCTTTCTTTCTTTCCTTTTTTTGAAAACAGATTCTTTTCTCACATAACATATCCGGATTACAGTTTCCCCTCCCTCCACTCCTCCCAGTTCCTCCCCTACAGACACACTCCCTCTCTTCTCTCATTAGAAAAGAACAGACTCCCAAGAGATAATATTAAAATATAACAAAATAAAATATAATAAACTAAAGCAAAAACTATCATACTGAAGTGGGACAGGACAAACCAATAGAGGGAAAAGAGTCAGAGAGAAGGCACAAGAACCAGAAACTCACTCATTCACTCATTCAGTAATCCCATAAGAACACTAAACCGGAAGCCATCGTAACATACAGACACAAGCAGGGCCTGTGCGTGCTTTTTCAGTCCCTGTGAGTTCATATGAACTTTGCTCATGTTGATTTAGAGGGACTT